GTAGGCGAGGGTTTTCTATGTCATGTCGGAAAACGGGTTTTTCAGGTGTGTAATCTTTATGGGAAAAGACGTCTCACTTCATTAGAAGGTGCTCTAGTAGCTACCTTTTTCCTTTTTGTTTTCCTAAAATAAGGCTTCCTCAAAAAGACAAAATACTTAAATTAAACTTAAATTATCTTTTTATCCAAGTTGAAAAAATGATGAACTTCTAAAAAAAGGTTTCATGTTAGCCTCTTGTAATTTTGGAAGTTTATTCTGGTTTTGAATTTTCCCTCATGCACTGATTTAAGCATGTGTGCTAGTTTTAGACTAAATCATGTTCAACTAACACAACAGATTTAGTCCAACATCTCAACCCCTAGTGTATAAGGAAGGATGGATGTTTTTTGCAGGTTTATATTGGTTTAAATTTTCCATTTCGTACGTATTTTTTTGTTTTGCCATTTCGTTTTGTATTTGCAGCTTTAAAATCTGATAAAAAACTGATCTAAACATGAATAACTTTCTTTTTCACCAAAGTTTCACTAGCAAAGGTTTGTAAGTACAAACTTTCACCATTCATCGTATATATGTTAAATCGGTTATTCCAAATCCGTTGAGAATTACAATCTCATCAAGGTGGCTTCCTTTTGTGAAGCTGGCCGTGCAGTTTGTTCTTCACGCATTTTTTCCCCAAACATTATCAAAGCCTTTGCTGAAATCTATTAAAATGCTTTAATTTCACATGAAAAAAAAACAACAAAAAAACAGTTGCATCAAGCACAGGCGGCCTAAAATAGAAGTAGTTTACCTAGAACAAGAAGGGCTGATGCAGGTGAGCAAAAGCCATAGTGGAACAAAATGTTGAAATGTTTCTTTCATTCCCTATTTTTCTTCTAGAGGCTTGTCTAGGAAGTGATGCCTGAATGAGGCTTAGTTGAAAGTAAAACAACCTAATTTCCTAATTTTAGGGATTAGTAACCATGCTTCTATTGCTTAAAAATAAAATGAAATTTTAACCCCAACAAGCCGTGTTCTCATGTAGAAATTATACAGTTTTTGTGTGCGAGCGAGAAGTCATTGAAATGGAGACGAATGCTTTACTCCTACAATTCTAACCAAGTTTTATGCGTAATGGGCATATTAAATTTGATCTTTGGGCTCAGTGGAGACGTATGACGTTTCAACAGATCTTATTAGAGTTTTCTGACGTGCACTGCAAAAACTGATCTAAAAATAACACCAAACATTTCAATATTTTCCTTAATTTGAGCACATAAATAAAATGTTCCAATATTTAAATGAAGATTTTAAATAAGTTAATTATGTATTATGCACTTGAAATACACTTTTTTTTTTCTAATTTTAAACCTTAATTAAAATATAATATAATTATTTTAACAAAAATTACTAGCTTAGATTTCTATTTATGCAGTCTTAAACTGATAAATATTCCCTTTTTTTAGCACAGTTAAGTGCAGTATTGCAAGAGCTTAATGAAGAAATGCCAACTGTAATACAAATAGGTATAAAATATAAGTAATTAACAGCCCTAACAATAAACGATGCTCAAAAAACACAGAAAAACATGAGATTCTGGCGTATAGTCATGTATTCTGTGGTGCAGTTTGCGAGACATTGGATGGGATTGTTGCTCTTTGCAGTTTGTCCTGTCAGCTCTGTACTAAAGCAGGACAGTAAATCCTGCATCAGCACCCTCCTGCGTATGCAGTCCCACAAGAAAACTAATTTGCTTACTTCCTCAAACACAGACTCATGCTGTAAGAACAAGGCCACATTGTGTGTGGAGGTCAACTCTCCTCACTGTGCTGTTAGTCATTCTGTTATTCTGTCTGGATCACGCCATCACACTCTCTCTCTACAAGCCTGATATTATCGGGACCTTTATTATATTTAATAAATGAATTACCAGAATTACATAAATCATATATCTGTGCAGATAGAAGCTGATGTGTTCTGGCTTAAAAACCCTAGACTGAAACAAGCAATCGTCTTTCTATATGCTGTTTTATTATGAGCATCAGCCGTCGTAATGGAGTGGAAGTTGCTGCTAATTCAGATGAACATTAGTCCGCTTTGTAGGGGGTTTATTCTCTCAAGGCATCTGCAGATTACATCACCGCCCTTCCCCTCAGTTTGCATTTGTTGCCTATTGGAGACATGAAGGAGAGTTGACAGAAAAGGCATGAGTGGCAGGCAGTGATGGATGGGAGGGGTTCCAGGGCAGGAAAAGACAGCAGGGCAGAAGTTGAAGGGGAAGCCAAAAAGCAGCAATGGCAGACGGAGAATATTTCCTACTGAAATAAACATGTAGGTACTGAGAACTGATGGTTCTGATGCTGCAGCTTAAATGCATCTTCTATGCATACATGCAGCCCTGTATTAAAATAGACATTTAACATATTGAATATGGAGAGTTTTCTTAAAATGAAATAGATATTTGTAGAGAAATGAACTTTACTGACATCTGTTGGTGAGTTATGAAAGTTGCAGTATTATATTAGAATTGCATTTAACCAAACAATATCCGGTCTTTCATGCCGGATGAAAGCAAGATATTATCTAATGGATATCAGTCATATGGTTGTTAACAGGTGTCTCCTGCAAACTGAATTTATGCAACACTCAATAAAATTATGTTTGAAAATGACCAATTTTCACTGGAGCAGCTGACTGGTGGTGGACAGGTTAAATAGTGATCTTTAAAGCATTTTTTTTAGTAGAAACACTTTATTAGCACAAAAATAATCACAATGAATTCTTTACAACAAAAAAAACAGAGGTGTTTTCAATTCAATAAAATAATCCTTTCAATAGTTGGTGGATCAGCATTTTGCTTCAATTAAAGCTCCAGTGATGCTATGAAAACTTTTGTTGTCTCATCAAGACTCAGAAAATCTAAAGCTCAGTCAGATTTATAGGGAACATTTAGGGATGCGCATTTATCACATCATTTATGGTTAGTTTGATCAATTTGTGGTCATAGTAAATTTAAAAGTCTAAACATTAAATTTCCAATTTCAAAATGGATTGACGGGATATGATTGATGTGATATGCAGTGTTGGGAAAGTTCTCTTTCTACGTGAACTAGTTCAAAGTTCAGTTCACACATTTTAAAATGAACTAGTTCAGTTCATAGTTCATAATTCAACATTTTGAACTAAGTTCACAGTTCCAAAAAATGAACTAGTTCATAGTTCTTTTTTTTTTTTCATGTATTGCTCCATTACACCATAGCCTACTGTAGAACCACAGACAGCAATTATTTTATCAGTTGTAACTCTGAAACTGTGCGTCAGATTTCATCTTCATATCCAGTTTTGAATCCTTATCCAACCAGGGTTTACATTAGCATTGAGGGGACAGCATTTCCCCATTGTTGCTTTAATGCTTTGTTGCTGTCCATTCACTTCACACTAGTAGCAGCTGCAGCTTTCACCCCTACAGTATATTCTCAAAAACATCAGGAAAAATGTGCTGCTTGAATGGTCTTTTTTATGAGGAATTATTAAAAGAAAAACAGGAAAGTAGTCTTTAAGGTGCAAATGTTTTTTTAATTGTAATATTTTTTTCCATTTGAAATCCCATTTCAGTACATACTAAAAAGGAATCCTGGAAAATTATACCAGGCTGGTTTAAGTGCGGATTTTTCTACTGAAAGCCAGCGGGCAAAGTTTGCAGAGAAATGTTAGATTGTTGCCATCATCCTCACCGACCACCTGGTCATAAACCTGTTTTAAGTGATCATACTGCTGCTTTGTCGCCTCCACGGTCGCCTCCATGCTGCTGTGGCTTCCACGCTGCATTTTGTTTTGATGACGCACGCGGCTGTAGGCTACCACGCTGGTAGCTGGTGTTGCCAGATTGGGTGTTTTTCCTGCTACATATTAAGGCCTGTTTACGGTGTGATTTAGCCGGGGTTTCGCCTGGAGGGCTCTATAGAAATCTGGCAACCTATTGAACGGAGTTGAACTGAGAGAGCGTGCCGTTCACAGACACCAGAATGAACGAGTTCACAATAACCTTCATCAGGCAGTAATGCAGTACGTTCAGTTCACGTTCGCCCAAAATATGAACGAGTTCATGAACTTTCTTTCAATGAACGCGTTCAGGCACAACACTGGTGGTATGCACTCACAGCCATGCAGTTAAACATGATTTTAAGGCGATATTTCCCAGCCGTAGGAGCATCTATGAACACCGGTTTCTAAAATCTGATTTGTAGCTGGATTTAAGTCCGGATTAGAACTTGTTATTCTGGCTAGAGAATTTCCGATATGATGACATGGAACAGAAGTCACACATGAGCAGCTGAATACTTTTAGAGCTCTGGTGGGAGCATTAAAGTTGAAATAAAACCTAATCGATTTGTGAAGTTAAAATCTAATAAAGGGGAAATGTTTTAGTCTCAGAATCTGATCCCTTATCTGCACAGTTTGCCAAATGGACTTACTCTTGTTGTGCTCTTAATATTCCCTCTGTTCTGCTGCAGCTGTTACATCATGCCTTTTAGTCCTGAATGATTTTGATTTTGTATTTTAATTTAGATTTTCCTTTTCGCTAAACAGAAGCATGCACACATGTAGATGTTTGATTGTTTTCATGACCCTAAAAGCTTGCTTATCTAGATATACCCCTCTTTCTCTTTCGCATGTGTAAAGGCATTTTAAAGTGTATTACTATCACCTAAAGTTTTGGAGTAAGAAATTCAGTGTCTTAATCATGCAAAATATCATGTAAACCCCTGCGATTAAAAAATTTAAACTTTTTTTTTTAAATTGCAGTTATTTCACAGATGTTATTAATGACCCAGCCCTGATGTTGTTGTCAATATGTGAAGAAGTAATGAGACAATGAGATATGTTTTTAAAGTAGTGAGCAAAAGTAAAAAGCACCTAGAAAAATGTTCAAGTAAAGTACCGTACAGAAAAGGGGAAAAAAGCTAACTAATTAAAGTAACTCTGTATTTATGGTGATGTACTCTTTTTAATTTCCTCAGCGTACTGTGGATCTGATGCTTCCTGCCATCACAATGGAAACGGAGGCCAGTCACATGCTGGAGGCAGCACTGGAGCAGATAGACGACATCATTGCAGGTAAGAGCAGGAGGCAGCAGGAGTCTTCAGTGTGATGACAGAGGGTACGAAGGTGAAATATGGCCTGTGTTTTGGAAAAACGTTAATGTAGTGCTGCAGGCAGCTGTTATTGGGGGAGGAAAACGTCTTATATATAACAAAATGAGGGTAAATTATCTTAAAGTAAGGATTTATTTCAGCATTTTGCATTTTCTATTATGCCTTGGTTGGTATTTTGTATGTTTTCTCACAGTAAGCAGGTTAAACCCCTAATAATAATTAAGAATTTTTTTTATCTGTTGGAAAAAAAAAAGCTTAGAACTCTCACTCTGTGTTTGAACTAATGGGTGTAATCTATGTATTTAAAAGTTTTCAAGATCTTACAGCTACCCACGACTGGGGCTGCTTCACAGTTTATTCACCATATGGTTTTTAAACATCATTGCAGGTAAGAGCAGGAGGCAGCAGGAGTCTTCTGTGTGATGACAGAGGGTACGGAGGTCAAATATGGCCTGTGTTTTGGAAAAAGGTTAATGTTGTACTGCAGGCAGGTGTTATTAGGGGAGAAAAAAAAAGTATTTTATCCACTTATATTTAATAAGATAAGGATAAATTATCTTAAAAAGCATTTTTTATTATGCTTTGGTTGGTATTTTTTGTTAAACAAATGATGTTTATTCAGAGATACTGTTTTTTTCACAGTAAGCATGTTAAACCCCTAATAATAATAAAAAATATATAATTTCTGTTGGGGAAAAAATATCAAACTCTCACTGTGTGTTTGAACTAATGAGTCTCATCCATATAATAAAAAAAAATAAATAGATAAATAAATCTTACAGCGACCCATGACTGGGGCTTATGGAAGAGAAACGCGACCCATAATCACAGCTCTATGGAGCAGCATCAGATTCATTCTGACTAGAATTGAGTCGGACTACGTCAGGCTAGAGAATTAGGGCGACTGGAAAACATTTTTTTTATATTTTATTTCAGTTTAGTATGGGGAAAAAAGTCAAAATTCTGACTTTTTCTCAGAATTCTGACTTTAATCAAGAATTCTGACTTTAATCTCAAAATTCTGACTTTAAATTCAGAATTCTGACTTTTTTTATGATCAGAATTCAGTCAGAATTCTGAGATTAAAGTCAGAATTCTGACTTTTTTTATGATCAGAATTCAGTCAGAATTCTGAGATTAAAGTCAGAATTCTGACTTTTTTTATGATCAGAATTCAGTCAGAATTCTGAGATTAAAGTCAGAATTCTGACTTTTTTCTCATACTAAACTGAAATAAAATTTAAAAATCTGTTAACTTTTTTTTCTCCAGTGGCCCTAATCCTGTTCCTCTGGGGCTGCTTCACAGTTTCTTCACAAAAAGTTTTTTTTAAATATTCAAAACATTTTTTCTCTCTTAAACTCGGAATGAGGAAGCATATATATATATTTACACTAAACTGCACTGATATTTCTGAGAAAACGATGCTCTTATTTCAAACAAACAGGAATGCAATGAGTAGCGCTAACTCTCCAGTTACATGCACCCCATGGTATAGTTACTGTATTTAATGCCACACACTTGATTTGAGATCATCACCTGAACCAGTCTTTTCTTTAAATTCTTTAGGGCTTCTGGGTTTTTATTGTTCCATATTGTACAATGTATTCACAACTTGGAGAAAGAAGTAAAGGAAAGTATTTTAAGGAAAAACCAAGATCTCTTCTCTGAGACAGATTTGGCCATAATATTGACTTTCATTAAATCTAAAATCGGTCAACTCAAATCGACATATAAAACTTTTGTGTTTATTCTATTTGGCTGCAGCAGAAGCCTTCAGCAATACGGAAAACAAAGTTGAACAGAAAACCTCAATATTAGGTCAATAAGTGACAAAAGAGTTGCAAAAAAAAGACAGAAAAAGGATCATTTTTAGATGTGTGTTTGCTACCATTTTAGGCATCATAGTGTGGAACATTTGAACCAAAGTGACGACATTTTTCTGGTCCTCACATACATTTCTGCTAAGGTTTGTTTGGTGTGAGTTTAGGATAACGGTTACGGTTAGGAATGCACTGGTAATGGTTAGGTTTAGCGTTACAGTCTGGGTTTGGGCATAGAAAGGGTTTAAAGCGGCTGAAAATCAATGAGTGTCAACACAGGGTCTCCACTACATGTAGCAAGACCTGAATGTGTGTGTTTGTGCATTAGAAAAAGAGCCGTGTTTACTGCCGCTCTCTCAGCCTTGGCGAGGACACATGTGACTAACAGAAGGGTAAATGTTTAATGTTATCCATCAACATGATGTGGGAAAACAGAAAGCATCTGTCCAGCAACACAGAGCGAGATAATGAGACGGATGGAAACATTCCAGATTAGATAGCAGAGATTATGGTGACGTATGGGTATATACCTAATAAAGCATTCTTATGCTAAAAAGGATTTTTTAATTCTCTTAAGCATTGAAAGCAAAATTAAGTTTGAAACAATATTGATTTTTAATTTCTCTAATGGCTTCATTCCTGCTTTCCTTCATCCATCCTTTACTAAATCTGTCACCCTTATAATACAAACTCTACATTGAAATCCTTACTAATGTGGAATTATTTGAATATTCATTTCATCTTCATATACGTCCATTTTAGTTAACCTGAAATATTTGCAGGAACAATGAAAGTGTCATCCTGAATGAGATTTTTGATGTTGAAACTAAAACCGCAAAAACTACATATAGTAGTTTAAATTTTAAAAGTCGTGAGAAAGCATAATGTCCTGATCTATAGAAGTTAAAAACACATTTTTATTATTATTAATATTATCATTATTATTAAAATGATTTAGAAAGGATGATGACCCCAATGTAAAAGTTTGTGTTTCTAACAAACCATTGCAAATTTGTTTGGTGAATACTCAAAAATGGAATGAATAGATCAAAAATGGCGACCCAGCATGGCGTCTTCCATTGGATGCACCGCCCCCTACGTAATTATAAACTACCGATTATAACCCAGGAGAACATTTAAGTTTTGATGTTATGTTATGTTAGACTTTTGCAGAATATGTAATTATTAAATCAATACTAGATTTTTTTAATAAAAAGCCAAGCTTGTTTCACACCGTCCCTTTTAACATGGTGGTGGTGGTAGTGTGATAGGCAGACATCCTTTCTGCTACTGGATCAGAAAAACTTTGTTGAAGAAAATAACTTATCAAGAATGAGGTTTAGCTTTGTGATCCTAAACCTACATCAGGAAAATAATAAGCTAGTCCACCTTTGCATTGGTGGAAAATATTTAGGTTAATAGCATCTTATTGAAAAAAGAAATTGGGGTAAAATATGCCTTTTATTTTGGGTTGATGAAGCAATTAGCCTTCATATAAGATAGGTCAACAAGACTTAAAAAAAAAAATCACTCTTACTCTTCACTGCAAAAACGAAAAAGTTAGTTCAACTCAAAATTTCAAGGCAACCGACTGCACAGAATTTTTGAGTTGAAGGCATCAACTTAATTTTATAAGTTTTGTAGAACTACACTTATAAAGTTGTGTCAGCTAAGTTTTTTTAAGTTCTGCCAACTAAGTTTTTTTTATTCAAGTTCCTGGAACTTTCAAGACTTATTATTTTAAGTTCAGATTATCTGTAAAAAGTTATTTTAAATTCAGATTACCATCCCCTGTAATAACCTACATTTGAACCACTTCGGCAAAGACAGTTTTACAATTCCACAATGTAAACAAGCAATGTAAACAAGTAATCTTATGCTTAAAGCAAATCAGGTTTCAGCATATATTATTTTTTACTTTCCAACTCCTGTTAAAACCTTACAAGTAATGCAATATTGCCAGAAATGACAGGAAACCAGTGCCTTAGTCTTCTCTTGGACGAGTCCTCAGGGAAAGTTCCCGCCAGCAGAGTGACCAGATGGCTGAAGCAAACTTTAGAAGGGAGCTCCTGGGAAAATCCATGGAAACCCTGTAGCAGCCGGTTGCCATGAAAAATTTGAAATGAGCATGCGCAGATAAGTTGACCTCGCTCGGACTGGGTGTCAACTACAACTTCAAAGTAAACTCAACTTAATTTATAGAATAAGATGAACTTTTCATCAGAAACTTATGAAAGTGAGTTCAACTGGCTCACAACAGACAGTTCAAGTTCCAACTGGCAATGTTATTGTCAGTGAATGCAAAAATCTTAGTAAGGTGAACAATTTTGAGTTGTCGTTTTTACAGTGTTGTTTCTTTATTTCTTAGGCTTTATTTAACACTTTCTTGAAATCGCTGGTCACGTTTTTCTGCTTCCTCACTTTAAATAAAATATTTATATAAAGAAAAGAATTATCAAGCTATTCAATAAATGCTACTGTAGATTTGTTCTGTAGTTGTCCTCCTCCTCCTGTAAGAGAGACTGAACTTTTCCTAAATGGTCGTTCTCTTTAGAACTTCTACGGCTTTTACTCTAGAAAATATGAAGCAGCTCATTCAAAAATGAATTCAATGATTTAAGACTTATTGTTAGTTTGTGTAAAATTTTTAATAAAAAAAAAAATGTTTGTCAGACAATCTCAGATAAAAAGAAGAGACAAAAGCTAATTCTATTATTTAGGACTAAAACATGTTTTTTTCCCCACAAATAACATTTTCTACATTTTGTGCAGCTCTTGCAAAAGACACTGATGTCACTGAGTGCTCTCTGCTCTCACTGACCGCAAATAGAAACGCATTAAAAATCCCATTAGCGATAAGATCAGCCAATCACTAACAAGGAAATTAGAGCCACTTATCAACAGAATTTAGATTATGTTGGTCATATTACATTCCACAATCGAGAGGTTTCTGGATCTGCTGGGAACGTACTGTAATGTGAAAGCTCTCCACTTGTTGTTTTGTTGAGTTACGGTAAAAGTGGGACATTGTCGATGCCGCTGATTCCCCTGCTGTCATATTCCCTGTTTGTGTTTGAATATGAAACTAAATAAAGTCACCATGGAAATGAGAATCTAACTGAAATGAAGGAGTTTCGGTGACTGAGGGAAGCAGGTGTGTAAACAGCGCCGCATGGTGGATGTGTTTTACAGGTCAGGTCGGATCAGAAGCCAGCTTCTACTGACTGCTAATCTGACCTGTTGGATTGGGACTTCTACCAACACATCCAGATTATGTAACATAAACTTTGTTTTATTTCAAACATTAGGTTAAACACAGCTTGTGCTTTAAATAAAATATCCACATTTCTTGATTAGATTAGATTCAACTTTATTGTCATTACACAGGTACAGGTACAAGCCAACAAAATGCAGTTTAGGTCTAACCAGAAGTGCAATAGAAGCAAGTGCAGGATAAATAATGGTTCCTTAAATACAGGACATGGGTTTCTACTGAATAACTATAGAGATGAATACCATTCTAAACAGAATCTTACTAATAGATTTGTCCTATGTATATAATATATATATATATAACTATATAATATATAGATAATATATAGATATGATCAAACAATCATACAACAGGTGGATTACCAAAAGAAGTCCCAGGAGATCAGCTACAAGGAGGCAGGGGACCCAGTTGGGACACATTCAGTGTTTATTATTACACATTGGACTAGATATTGGGATCTTAAAGTAAATCTAAAATCATCTAAAAGCTACAGTGTGAGTTTAAAACCACCTGTAGATTCTTTATGGTGTTTAGATCAGATTAGCTCTCCAAGCATCCAGGCACAGTGGAAACATGGTTATTGAAGCTTCTCTACATCCTGCAGGAAAAAATAAATTATTTTCACAAAGCTTATCAGCAGAAGAAAGAATGAAGTACTGTGATTTCCAATAAATGGCTGCTTTTACTTTGGATAAGTTAAAACTCTTGAGACAAACATGGGCGAATAACGTGGCTCCACAAATTGTGAGCGAGATGGAAACTTCACTCTGGACCTGGAGCAACTTGTTTCAGCCATCCTTCATCCTGTCCTGTTTCTTACTTTGGTAAGATGTCTGTAAGGGTGTATTCACATCTGCCACATTTGCTCACCTTTAAATGGACCAGAGTTTGTTTCTTCCTGTCATTCAGACCAGGGCAAGTTAATTAAATTGCAACTTAAAACAATTTTCAGATAGTTAAAGCCCTGTAGTTTACTTTTAACAAAGCTAAGACAGGCTTTCTCACTTCAGCCCTTTAGGTCCCAGTTCTGGTTGAATACATTTTTGGAAAAATTATCCATCCCTACCCAGACCAACAAACTGCGAGGTGACCTGCTGTCCCCTTCCAAACAAACTCTGGTTCGGTTCAGTTCGCTTCAGAATTAAATCCAAACCAGCCTTGATCCGACCCAACTATAGAAAGCACGCTGATCTTTGGACCTTGCAAGCCAGCAAGATAACGTGGCTGTTTCTTTAAGCCAGATGTGCTTTGAATGTATCCAGATGTGTTATTGTTTGCCTCACAGTGGAGGATATGAGTTGGAGGGCAATAATCCATGGAACACATCCACATTTTCGAAATATAGTTGAGCAGAAATGTATTAATCAGCCACTGATTGTGCAAGTTCGCCTACTTAGAAAGGGGAAGAGAGGTCTGTAAGAGACAAAATGAGAAATAAAATCTAAGAACTCACATTGTTGGATTTTTAAAGAATGTATATATAAATCATGCTGGAAATTGTTTAGTTACCAACAAACAAGAAGGATTTCTGGCCCCTGTTTGAACTAGACATGGCCTGAAACGCCAGGCCGGCGATAGTTGGGCCTGATATTTGCGTTCTCTGCTTGTAACAATGATGTGGGAAAAAATAAATAAATAAAGTCTACAATCTGTGACATACTACACCCAGAGGAACTCGCATCCTGCAGGGCCAGGCGTGTCCCCCTGCTGAAGACATGTCCAGGCCCGTCTGAAGTTTACCTAAGAGTCGATGGAAGATGCAGAAGAGGATTGGGAGACCTTATGAAACCAAAATAAAATTTTTTGAAAGAAACTCGACTTGTCATGTTTGGAGGCAGAAGAAGAATGCTGTGTTACCGCCCATGAACACAATACCTACTGTGAAGCATGGGGGTGGAAACGTCATGCTTTGGGGCTTGGGCGCTGTCATTGAAAAAACAAAGGTTATGCTATAAAGTATTGCGTTGAATTTTTGTTTTAGAGCAGATTTGACTTATTATATTTTTACCATAATTTACACATGGACTCTATTAAAAAAATCTCCTTTTATCTCTCATATTTGAAGTGAACCTATAATCAAAATTAGACCTTATCTGTCTAAGTAGGTGAAGTAAGGCTGACTAAATCTTTTTTTTTGCCCAACTGTCGCTGTTCTTACAGCTGTGCTTCAGTTTACTGAGTTGATCTTTTCTTAATTACCTATTAGTACAGATTTGCATTTTAGTTTTGTAATTTCTCAGTCATAAAATTAGATTTGTTTTTATAGCGATTGATCTCTCCCGCTCAATCTTTCAGGTTCAAAGGCAGCAGCGATGGAGCTCTCCACCTCGGTCTACGACCTTGGTACGCCTGTGAACGCCTATCCGCTGCAGTTAGCCGAGGAGCTCAAACTCGCTCTGGAGGTTCAACCGAACCAGGAAGAGAGAGACAACCTCAGAGCTCAGCTGCCTCCAGAAACGGCTCAGGCTCTCATCAACTGGCTGCAGACTGGAACTGTGAGTACAGGATCTGACATGATGCAGTAAACACTCCCCACTGATCTGATTTAACCTTTTAAAGATTTTGTTGAATCAGAAAAAAAATTTCACTAATCTGAAACAATGCTTTAGGTTCTCTACCTTGGTTTGACTTCATAGAAACACTTTAATTTATTGTAACATAAACCCAACCATTTTTAATGTTTGAAGCATCAGACCAGACATCATATAAATGCTGTAAAATATTGATGTATTTCTGGTTTATTGAGTTAAAATGGTTTTATCAATGATATTACCCTCTCATTCTCCACTGAAGCTATAACTCAAAGACTGAAGTAATTTGATTATTGAAGTTAATGATCTAAAACGGTGTCATTTTCGATACGATTGGCTAATGTTGTTAGCAAATCAGAATTCTTCGTTGTATTTCTGGGTCCTCCAGTTAAAACGAACAATGTTAGAAAAAAAACAATCACGGATCCTAGGGGGGAGTACTGGCCTAGTTTTAGAGCAGTGAAATGTGCTCTGAGAAGGTTGCAAGCAGGCTCGGAAAACAACCCTCACCAAGACTTCTTTAATACGGCTTTTATGGCTTTGGTTATCAACACGGATGCGGCAGTGACTGCTGCTGCTGCGTAACGTCCACACTCAACACATCAGCAGGGTTGCCAGATGTCACTGACTATCGTTTTCCAGCCCAAAAAAGGTTAATAAACCACCTGGATATATGAAATCTCGCCCAATTTAAACCAAAGTCTATTGATCTCTTAGGCCATAAATCTAAAAGAAAAAATTTTTTCACCCATAGACGGCCATCCAAAACTGCCAAATTGGGAAACGTCCCAACCTGGCAACAATGCACGTAAGACGGGAAACGTTAGCCTATAGATGCATAAATTCGTCAAATATACGAGGAACATTGTAGTTTGGTTTAAAAAAAAGCATTTTAGTTTTATTATGATTTAGTTTGTTGCAAGGATTTTACAGTTTGAATTAATAGAAAACTACACCATATGCCAACCGTCACAAATGATGTGCATGACAAGGAAGGGCTATATATACTGCATGCATCATTAAGGTGGTTAACATTGTACTGCTTCTTGAGCTCCTTGAGTTGTTTACTGTCACAGGTAGGAGCTTCTGCCGCAGAGTAAGTGTTGGGGCCGGTATGATTTAAGGAGGGCCGCCCCTCACGCTGAAATTAGGACCGGCCCACCGGGCAAATGCGCGGTATCACAGATTACCAGTCCGAGCCTAGTTGCAAGATACCTGGCTTGATTCCAAAAGCCTCAACTCTGGAACACTGAGCAGGACCCTTAACCCCACTCTGCTCCCCAGGTGCCGCACAATGGCAGCCCACTGCTCCCCAAGGGAATGGGTTAAATGGAGAGAGTTTTGTTGCTCTGTATTTGTGACAGTTGATTATACATTGTTGATTATAAATATAATTTTATCATCTTGTAACTCGTGAAAAAAAGCATCTGAAAAGTAAATGAATCTTTATCCTGGCATTTTACCCTTCTTTGTATTTCTCACCTGGAAAGCCAGAAAACTGAAGGACCAAGTAGAGTTAGAACATGTTCTGTTGCGTTGTCCTTGGAGACACTATTACAACTCGCCATTATTGACTTCCTGCACTGCGTTCCCTCCCTCACGCCGTTTTTCGGCCCTTAGTGGCCTCTCAGTCATAACTACTTCTCTGTTCACGTCAGCTTTTACCTCTCTTTTTTCCCCCCTCTTCTTTCTCCCCTCTCACTGAGGCTGTGCATGTTCAGGCACCCACCCTCTGTTTTCTCATGCAAGTCTGTTTTGTAGATGTAAATGAGGTAGTTTTTCATTCAAGCAGCCAAGTCTCTGGCAGCAGGACTTGATTTCTTAGGACTGTGACTCTGAGGTAAGTTTAAATTACTCTAAACAGTTAGAAGTGTTTACTTGTAATGTTTAAAGCAAAGTCACTGGTTTTGTTTTCTAATATGACTTTTAAATGGGGAATTTTATTTTTAGTAAAAAAAGTTGGGGTTTAGGCTGGAAGCTTTTATGCTTTTTGGGCTTAAATTGTACACATAGCTGGTTGAGCTGGTGTTGCTGGGCTTTGTCCTGCAGAGGCTGCTGTTTTCTGTGCAGAAAGTCAGGCTGTACTCAGAATAATAGATGGGAGCGGCTGAAAAGAGAAAGCGATTCTTAAATCTGCATTGTCTCAGCAGCAGATGTCTCCCATGCAGCTCTCACCCACGGCTCATTTTCCCCTTTTCCTTTTGCTCTTTGTTTCGTTTAACCTTTCGTCTTGTCTTCTGCTTCCCGTTTCCTGCTACTTTCTTCTTCCCATTTTACACTTCAGACGCTGATTATTTTCTGAGCATGAATACGCATTTTGTAACCTTTATTTTCACGTGTGATTAAAGAGAACGCTGCACACCATTGAGGGGGACCATTTTAGAAAAATATGACTGTTAAGTGCAACAAATTCAAATCTTAGTTATGAACTCATTACAGTTTTATTCTGTTATACATTTAGACTCACTGATAGCATTTAAACTTGACAAGTTTAGAGAGTCAAAGCTTAATAACGAGGTTTAGACGAATATTATCACCTCACTTATAGACTCTATTTCTCAAGCTTTTGAAAAAACTATCAACACGCATCAGTTGACTAATTTTTCCTGATATGAACCAAGAAACTGTCTGGATGATCAGCACAACAGTGAACAATCATGTTTATATTTTTAAAACGGCCTGGCAGATCATCAAAGCTAACTACTCCTCATGCACCCCCCAACAAACGCACACCACCGCCGCCACCGCTGACCCAAAAGGAGCAGGATCAAAGATGCCTGAGCCTGGTAATTACTCTTCAACCCTGGGGCTTCTCTCCTGGGATACAACTGGAAGGATTAGAAGATGTCTTGTGACTGCCACTCATTACAGCTGACTCAGAGATGTTCAAATGCAGATACAAGCTATTTAGAAAGTTGTTTTCCTGACCAGTAACATCCTTTTGGGAAAAATGTTTCTTTTCATGTTTAGTTGTTTGCATAAATTTGCACTCTTTTGCTTTAAACTGACTGAACCAGCAAAGCCAGGATTTGGGTGCTTCCTGTTTACATCCTAACCAGATGGGGGGTCTTGTCCACATGAAGAGTCGGCAAAACCACCTCCCCATGTTGGCTTGGTGTGGACAGACCAATCTGCTTACCTGGCAGGTTTACATAGACTAGGGCGGAGGACTTCAACCGGGGGTCCGCGACCCCTAGGGGGTCCACGGAGGTACTGCATGTGGGTCGCGAAAGTTTTGGTTAATTAGGCTTTTTTTTTTTTATATATTCCCCCCTGCAATTATTTCACTAATTGAAATTTCTTTAAATACAAATTAAGATGAATTCAACACACTGTCATAAACAGATAAATGGAGGCAGAAGATGTCTTGCACACATTCAGCGACACACAGGGAGCTCTTTCAAGCTGGACACCGTTTCATTCAACACCTGTCCCATAAACCAGGAATCAGAATCACTTTAATAATCCCAGGAAGAAATTACTTTCGTTGCATTACTCCATCAGTAAAAGAGCGATTATAGGACGAGGTTGATAAAACAAAATTTCATTCGATATATATAATTAGGGGATCCCCGCTCCATCTGGCCATCAGCCTGGGGGACCTTGGACTGAAAAACATTAAAGACGCCTGGACTAGGGTGACCAAAAAGGAGAACACTTTGCCCAGCGCCGAGACAGATTCAGATATGCTTCCAAGAGGTTAATGAACATCCTATATTATCCCTAAATTGTACTGAAATAACTTCTGTAGTAAAACAAAATCTGTAACAACCAGTAACAAAATTATGACTGTCTTTTAAAATATGTAAATAAAATAAAAAAAATTTCTAAATATGACTTCTTCTGTATTAGAAAACACAGCATCCTCTGTTTTCCCAGGTCTATAAAAAAGGGATCAATCAACTTTGCAGAGGAGACTGCACCTCACTCAGATTTTTTAGGTTTTTCAGTGTCCATGTGAGCTTTGTGTCTCCAGCATCTTTATTAGAGACTGAAAAATGTGTGCCAGCTCTGAACATGGTGCTCTCCCTCTTGACTGGACCAGGACATTCAGCCAATCATGTAGCGTGACATCATTGGCATGCGCAGGACCCGAGCAGATCTGGTACCTACACAGTAATATTCTGTGCAAAGCGCAGTGGTGTCAAACTTACACACATTTGTTACTTAAGTAGAAGTATATATACTGCAGTTTAAAAACACTCTGGTAAAAGTTGAAGTATCAACTTGAGCTCTTTACTCAAGTAAAAGTGAAAAAGTATGTGCTCCAAAAACTACTTAAAGCTACAGTGTATAATAGTTACAGGGATATACAGTCAGAAATGTAATATATTATACATAACTATGTTATTTATCATGATCTACGAGCTCAGCCTTTTAACCTTAATATTTGCGTTGCCTTAGAATTCGTTATTTATAATTACATAGGAGCGGGTCTCGCAGCCATGGAGGCTGACATCTTTGCGCTACGGCAGCGCAGAGCCAACAAACTAGCGATTGGGAGATCTCCCATTACAATAACATGCTGCGTGATGATGCTGTTACTCTCCAGTATACTTATTCAGCAACGTCCCTGACGTTTCACAGGTAATGATTCAGTAATTTTCTGTAAAATAATTTTCTGGATATATACCTCGGTTTCTTCTCTCCGGCTCCTTTGGAGATCTTCAAGCCTTTCCTCCTCTGCTCTAGTCACCCCGCTGGCACCTCTCCCTCGCCTGGCCCTGGCTGCACGCCCACCCTGGCCTCTCTGCCCTCTTCCTCGCCCTCTTCCTCGCCTTGTAACCCCCGTGCCACAAACAAGACTTGGACTCTGTAAACGGGGAATATATATTCTTCCAGCGAACACAATCTCGCTGTTAAACTAATGACTACAATTACTTTGTCTGTTTATATCACCATGCAAAGCAGCTCGCCAAAACGTCACAACGATGTAGAAAAAATAACGGGTATATTTATTATCT